CTCTTTGATATTGTTCAATCATCCAAACAAAAAAAAAAAAATGAGAGTTGTTCTAGATTTTATTATGTTTTTGCACAAAATATTTTAGTTTGTGTTAAACATACATAAATCCTCCAAATCTGAAAAGTTTCTTTTCTTTTTGTCTGTTATTTAGCATATGGAGCTCATTTATAATTCTATATTCACACTATTTCATATAGACAATACATGAAATAATTTCTCATGAGAATTAATAATATATGCTTTGTTTTTTAATTTTAGTTAGGGAAACGAATGAATGATGCAATCCATCATCACATGTTCATTTCAATCTTAAATATAGCATAGCACATATTTACATAAATATATTATGAATCACAATAATTAACAATAATTGATTTAGTTTAGAATTGATTATGAAAAAATGTAAAAATCAAATAATGATATTTAATAACCAGATTCTTTATAAATCTCTTCGTTTTCTTTTAACTTATACTATGCATTTTTTTGAATTGACACTAAATTGTATGGCCAGATGTTTTTATTTCATTTCATTTTTTTTAATAGCCTATGATTATCTCATATTGAGATAAAATGTTTTTGTTTGTTTGAATGTCTTCATTAAAGATTATGTCCATACAATGGGCTTCTTACGATCTATTTCACCTGTTTCCGATTTGTCCTTGACATAAAAACAATGATGTATGTGACAGTATCCATATGACAAAAAAAAAAAAAAATAATAATAAAACTAACAACAACTCCCTTCTCATTCGTTTAAAAATCACTAAATAGATGAACAGAACGATTTTAAATACACTCTGTGATCCATCTGTTTAGAAAAGAAAACATTGTATCGATAATTTGCATAAGAAGACAAAATATTTATTCACCGACAATAATACATCAAAGAATGAATAATGGCATTATCTATAACATAAAATAATTATTTGCATTTTATTAAACTAGTCAACCACAATATTGTCAGATGTGAAAAATATGACAATAAAATGAGAATTTTAATCAACTATAAACAAAACTATTTGGGTAGGATTTAAAACAATTCGATAGAGATTGAAACAAATTTTAAAAATACTAAAACTTTTTATTAAACTGAAACTGTTTTTTTTAACCATAAGAATTAGATTAAAAAGTACTGAAGATGCTGGTCCGTCTTCGTCCCATGAATTTTTTTCGCTGCCCGTGTTTGTCCGTACCCGTCCGTGAATTTTTTTCATATATGAAAAAATTTGTCTCGTCTACACGTGTATATTATGTTGTCCTTTCTATAGCATGTCTCTAACTGTCTATATTTCATTCACAAAAAAATCTTCGTACCATTTTGTTGCTGAAAAAATTTAAAATATCTTTTTGAGAAACCCGTGCCCGTCGAAAGGAATCAGTTGCCTGTCCATGCCCGCGGGCAGTACGGGCACGCTCGTGGCCACGGGAATTCTTGTGCCTGTGCAGATCTCTATTATCGAGTTTAACAATTAATGGATTCTCAGTTCAATAAGTTATTCAAAATTTCTATCATCCCAAATCTTTCTGATAGTTGTTATATAAACGATGAATATTATATTGATTAGATGTAATATTCTTCGTTATGTGTATACAGTAACAGCCATATACTAAATTTGATTCTTCTCGTTAGCTAAAATAGTTGAAACCAAAAAAAAAGATTTGAATGAAGTACTTTATATCACAGAAAATGAAGAGAATTAGGATTTTTGAAAAATACAAGTCCCACATTGTGATGGGAAACTTTTGTAAAATCAATAGCGTCGTGTATGACAGTAGTGTTCTACACAAAAGTCTCTTTATTCTAACAGCTACTCTAGACTTAAAACACGAAACTAGAAATAATTGATGTTTTGAGTCGCTGTTAGACTAAAGACAGTTTTATGTAGAACAATGTTGCCGTATGTTGATTTTAAAAGTTTTTCATCACGATGTGGAACTTATGTTTTTTAAAATCCAATTTCGAATATTTCGCTTCATGTTTTATATAAATCATTTTTTGTAATTTGTTTTGTTCCATTTATCTTCGTTGATGAGAAAAATTAAAATTAGTATACGATCTATAATTCTGATCAGTGCTATGCATACAAGATGTGATATGTTGTGATGTACACATCCTGAAAATCGACATCATTTATTAGTTGTACAAGCAAACTTCTAATCTCTACATCTATTTTGTCATAAGTAAAATAAAAACTAAAAAAAAAAATATTATCAAGAAAATCAAGATAAATGTCACACTTCAATCATCTACTCTATTTTCCTCTTTTGCTTTTCTTAAATAGAAAAGTAAACTGTCTTTTTTGAGATTAAAAGGAGAGTACGGAAGTGGCACATAAAAAAATGACAAATCTATTCTAAATATTTGATTAAAGGTGCGTGTTAAGTAAAAAAACAGAAAAGAAAAAAAAAAAGAAGTGATGCTAGACAATTTCCTGTAATAAGTGATGACTCAATTTTTTCTTTTAAACATTAAACAAAATAAATGTATATTTTCAATAATAAAATAATTTTATAAAAAATTTCAAATCGAATTTTTGTTTTTTTTCTTTACACTATACTCCTCCTCTAATTTCAATTATTTCTTCATAATTTTAATTTAATTTTCTTTTCGTTTTTTCTTCTCTTTAGTAAGGTATCAATCTATCTATGTGGAATTTTAATCAACCATCTGTGGATATGATAAAAAATATTGGATTTTTTTTTTTTTTTTTCTTTTGATAATTGATGATCTATAATCAGTCACCCACGAAGACACGTTTCTTTTCATTTCCGACACGTGTTTAATTTTTTTTTTTCCTTTTTTTTTTTTTTTTTGGTCAATACAATTCGCCTTCTAGCATGGAGTTACAGTACAGATCGCGAACAATATAATAGTTGAAGAAATTTAATATACTATTTCTACAAGCATAATACCTCATTTAACAAAACTATTAATTAAAAGAAAAATCTATTCAAAAAAAGCTCCAGGTATTATTAGTCAAGGAATGAAAACTATCAGAAAACTTTTAAAAATTCTCTTTTATTGATGTTCATTCTATTTTAAAACAAAAAAAAAAATTCCATAAGACTGGTTGTCTATCTTGATGCTAAGTGCAATTTCTATTTTTTTCGATCAACATTCTTTTATCAGATGTCCTAAAGGCAGAGAAAAAAAAAAAAAAAAGAATTTTTTTTTTTTAATAAATGGATTTGTTTCCTTTTTTGTCTGATCGTTCATTAATCGATTCAACTCCATATTAAGTTGAATAGACGTTGAACGGAACAGGACAACGATGACGAATGTCGGCATGATTTCTAATAATCAAAGTTATTCGATATCTGTGTTGGACAATGTCCACATACATATATAAATAGAACTTTATCTGTAATGTGAAATATGAAACTTAGTCTGGCAAAAAAATATTTTACTTCCGGCTATTATAATTGAACACATATACACAAAAAGAAAAAAAAAGAAAAGAAAAGGAAAGAACGACCGATTTTATATCACGCAATTCTATTTTTCTTCTTTTTTTGTTTTTTTTATTCATTTACATCAGAATAAAAAAAAACATCCGCATAGACTAATCGACATAAAAAAAAGAAAAAAATGATGTCACAATTTTCCAGTCTTTCACTCAACAAACATTTCTTTTTTCTTTCTCAAAGCTTATCTCACATGTATATATAAACGAAGAATTGATTTCTCGATCTTAGTAAATTTTTTGCTAACTTATATTGAGATAAAAATTCAAGTTTTTATTATATAGATAAGAACGAAAGAAGAATCAAAACAACATAAAAATACAAGAAAATCAGAACTTGAATCCAGTATTAACTTTTGCTCACTTTCTTTTACCGACAAAAAAATGGAAAAGTTTGGAATGAAAAAAAAAAAAAGAAGAAAACATACACATACACACACACTTTGTGTTAGTAAAAGATGGTCTAAGAATAACAATACAGACAAAGATAAACACTAAAAATAAAAAAGAAAATGATAAACTTATAGTATTGCTGGCGGATATAATAATGATTGTCATACAAACTATAACTAAACACGTTAGACGTACAAAGTACTGATGATCTAAGAAACTATTATTACACTATTTCTTCAGCAAGTTTTTTTTACTAATTATTATGTTAGCATGAGAGATTAACAACTGTAGTATAAATATCTTATTTAATGTTAACTAGATTAGTGAACAACTAAACATATCTACATCAGCAACATTTGATATCGATGCATATGAGTATATAATAGACGATATTACTTTAATAGAAAAATGTTTCAAGTTTATAAAGTAAACATCATAATTTTATAAAAGATAACTGAAAGAATTATTTGGATATAAAAACATAAGGAGAAACTACCGTATAGCTTTTAGGGATTGATGTATTACAGTATTTTCCACGCTAATATAGATACAGTTATGAACTTCTATTTAATCACTAGCATCGGATTATCTTTTCTTTTTTTTTAGGGAAAAAAAATTTTTTTCCTTGACAAGATTCGATGAAAATTTTTTAAAAAAACACATAATTATGAATGGTATACATCAATTGTCTAAATTCTCGTATTTTATACATATACATTTAAATTATACAACGAAGTAAGAAAGAAGAGTGACGACAGCAACAAGAACAACGACCATTTCAATAAATGACAAAACAACAAACACTGTTCAACATTTAAAAGTTTATAAAAATGAAACAAAAACGAGCATGAGGAATAAAATCGATAATAATAATAATAATAGAATATTGCCTTTGATGAATAATATGATGTTAAAAAATATAAAACATAATTAGTAAGGGAGTAGGTACTATTGAATGAAATCAAAATAACACCTTTAAGTCGTTCTGCTATTAACGCCAATGAACCAAATTAAATAGATTCGCAATAAAACGACCAGCCCTAGCTCTATGTCTTTTATAATGACTTCTAAGTCAAATATATACGAGGCGAAATACGACTAGAAAAAGAAAAAGAAATAAACGAAAAACGACATTATTTTTTAAAAAAATAATTTGAATAATAATAATAGAGACGATCCAATTAAACATAGCCAGTTATATCTTGATAACAAACTTGCATTGCTTTCCATCTGTTTGCTGCTTGCTGCTTCTTTTTCAGTGGCTACAATTGTAATGATTCTTGTTAAATTTGAATTTAGTTTAACTACAAATCCATCGGCAATTAATTTTTGAAAATAACTTTTGTCACCATCTGTCGTTACACTTTGAAGTTCGTCTAATTTCTGACGATTAAATTTAACAATAGATTTATAAACACCAAATGGAAGTGCTTCTTCTACGATAGTGATACCATCTTTATTATTTGTATCAACAAGTTTCTCAGAACTTGCTTTCTGCCATTCGATTATTGGTTTTGGATTACCACTGTACGTACAATCAATTTGAGGTTCAACATTTGTTTCTTCATTCTTCTTCAAGTCAATATGTTGTTTGTCATTACACGTTACAAATCGAGGATTAAATAACACATTTAATTTTATCTTCTTACCTACTTTGCTCACTTCACCTAGAAAAGAGAAAAACAACGATATGTGAAACGTCAAAGATAATTTACGAGGAAACAATCCAAATGCCACTCTCTCGCCTTCTCCTCGAAACCTACTTGATTATAGATAATTTCTAATACTGATCTCAAAACTGGTATCTTTTTCGATGTGTGAAATATCAGATGTAATCCCGTATAACTTTTCAACTATCCAGGATTTTCTATTAAAAATTTCAGAAGTAGCAAATGTGTAAGTAATACTACGCGCAAATGTATGCATCCTCTATTAACCGTAAGAGCGTCACAGAAGTCTTGTTTCATTGGACTTCTAACCCAAATTAAGAGATAATTAACAATTTACCTTCTTTCACAATACATTCAAAGTAATGATCATGCCAATCAGCTTGAACTGGTAAGGATGCATTCCATTTTAAATTTTGTTCAAACACATGTTTCGGACTATTGACTACTTCAGCTTTATCAGCGTGTTTGTGGTTGTGAATTAATACTTCAAAACCCGTGTAAGGATAAAATTCATCAACTTGACATCGAAATATAGCTTGATTTCCTTCTATTAATGGATCGGGTGTAACAGATAATTGCGGTTCAACATATTTTGTAATGAAAAACTCTTTGTGATCTTTTTTCGGCGGTGCTTCACAGTCAGGACATTCGCATTCATAGACGGCTGAATCAATCACTTGTGCTTTTGTGATTTTTATATGATTTTTACCTTCATACCGATATCGAGCACGATTTTCCACGTTTTGGAATAAATCTGGTATATCTTGTTTGTTGTCAACCTTACCATTGAGTAATGCACGTGTTACAGGTGTTCGTTTTTGTGTGCGTGGATCAACGTAGTATAAAACGGGTTTATCATCACTATCTGTCGGATCCCGTAGTTCACACAAAATAGAAATTTCAGTATCACGCTCTATATATTTGCTATCCGGTGATATTGTGAGTTTTAACGATGGTGGAACGGCGTATGTGCGATGAATTAAAAAAAATATAAATGTCAGTAGAAAATAAGAAAACGAATAAACTATTGAACAATGATTCATGATTGAATAAACTTTCCTAAAAATAAAATTAAAAAACGTCAATTCTATTGACCTAATACGTTCCATATTAAATCAAATATTATCATTTCTAAATTCTATCGATCACTTAACAATAAGATAAACTCTTACGATGAGTTATGCATCTGAGACGTCGTAGTTTTGATTTTTTATCAACTCTTTATATATGATTTAGTGTACATTATACGATGAAAAAAACAGAGCAAATAAAACTCTTTAGTGATGCAGTCTAGTTAGTTACCCCAAATGAATGGTATTTTGTTGAGGTAAAGGATAAAAAAGATCCCATGCGAGAGATTTCTAAATGGACAATTGATATCTCCACTAATGTACAGTCGTGTATAGTCGTGTCTCTTGTATTCATCAGTTTCTTTTAAAGAGACTAATGAAATGACACTTACTTAGCTGATGAGAGTTTTCCACATCTAAAAATTGACTTTTGAAATATAATACCCTCAGTGGTTTGGAATTACCCATTTAATACCTAATAATATGATAAATATTAGATGAAAATATGAATGTTTAGTAACAGGGCCAAAATTTGTATGGAAAAATATGAAAATTATCTTTAAATACTATTGTTGTTAAAATTTAGTCGCATGTTTTCTATATTATTTAGAATAAAGTATAATATTCTCACTCTATAATTTCGAAATCAATTTCGATCAATAGTAACAAAAAATTAAGATAAACGACAAGAAGAAAAAAAAAAGATGATTTATTTTTTTTCTTCTTTTTCGTAAATAATATATTATATTTACGAAGAAGCTTTATATTAAGCATGCGTGAGTAATGTTTTCTAAAGAGAAAATATATGTTTAGTCTTGTGTAAGAAATAGTGTTATGTATTCTTCAAAAGTATTATCTGAGAAAGTTTACTAAAGCAGAAAAACATTCGCTTTTCTCACTGAAACGGTAGACTTCTTTTTTTTTTCCTATTGAAACGGATATTAAAAACGTATTTCCGGAAACGTATAAAGTTCTTATATATTATGTATAGAGTGTGAAAGAAAATAATTAGTTAATATAACAAATTTGAAAGGACAAAATTTTTTTTTTTTTTTTTTTTGTAAGAGAACTAAAAGAACACGTTTTTGTTTTTTTCCAAGAAAAAAAGAAAAAGTGTCATAAAGTGGCATTGAATGATTGAATCGTTCACTATATCTAACAAATCTCATTCAAAAACGCTTCATAATGAAGTATTTACTCTCTAAATATTTTGTCTCAAGCCTTTTTTTCTATTGTACTTTCTCATTGTGTATCTAAAAACTACACTCTCTATATGAAAAATTAAGAAGAAACTAAATATATCGCTATATCCTCTTTTTTTTTTTTTATTGTTCTTACTTTGTATTTTATGTCACTAATTTACTATCCTATTCTAAAAACATCATATAAAATAATATACAAAAATATAAAGAGTAGTGGAAAAATGTGTATTTTTTTTGTAATCTGAATTTTTGAAGATTTTTGCTCAAACTTATAGATAATCTTGCATGAATAAAAAGGATGAGTTTGAAGTGGTGTGTTGACTTCAAAAGTACAATTGTCTCTTAGTCATTAGAAAGAATACAATGATGAAAACACAAGTATTCTAAAATCCTATTAGAACATTTACTTAAGTCCGTAATGGGACAAGAACAAAAAAATGATCGTATCAATTCATAAAAAATTTAAAAAGATAGAATTTTGATAAATTTTCTTCTTTTTCTCTGTTCTTTAAGATATCCAAATGTGATTTATGATTAATAATATTTCTTTTTTTTCCCGATAATCAATATAATAGTTAAAAAGATTTCTAAATAAATTTATTATTATCTTCTTTTATTTTTTATAATTTTTAATTCGTCATATATTTAGTGGACTTAGATTATAAGAAAGCTCAATATTAACAGTTGTAAAAAGAAAGAAAAGAAAAAGAATTGAATAAATAATCTTAATTTTACCTTATTTTTTCTTTTCGATATTGATTTGACAAAAAATGTTCACATTATAATAATTATTTAATATACGCATCGAATTCATTGATTTTTCATTAACATAACGTTTAACGTTGTTTTGTTATTATTATGATTATTATTATTATTACACTCCTCTTCTTCTTATAGTTTCTTGTATATGGTTGTGTGCCGTCGTTGTATGATGAATGAAGAAATGATGATGATAATAATAATAATAATAATTGTGATCGACTCTCTCTTTCTTTTCTTTTTTTTTTCTCTCTTTATGCAATTTTCTCTCTGTCTCTCTCTTTCTCTCTCTCTCTCTCTTTTTTCTCTTCTCTTCTGTTTCTTTCTCTCGCTTTCCTTCGCTCGTTTTTATTCCGGTCAAGTGTAGCAAAAGCTAAGAAGAGAAAATTTCAAAATATGGAAAGTACACCTGTTTAAGTGTTAAAGTTATGAAATTCAAAAAAGAAAAAAAGATGTCTCTTCTTCTGTTCTAGTAGTGATATGTCATTACGGTTGAATACAAAAGAATGGGTCATGTTCGGAAAATCATTCTAGACTGAACAAAAAAAAAAAAAACGCTTTTTCTTTTTTTTCTGTGAACAATCCGTCTGTTTCCAGTGATAAAAAAAAAAATTTTTTTTTGGTTTAGATTATTAGAATATACAACAAAAAAAAAAGGATTCTTTCACATACAAAAGAAAGAATTTTTTCTTCTTTCAATGTTATATTTGAAGAGAGTCCCATAGAGAGACAAAGAGAGAGAGAGAGATAGTAGATGAATGAATACGGATACGAATAAACAAGACAGATGGATTTTCGAAACTAGTATTAGAAGACAAAATCAAACAAATAAAATATATACGCGTGTCTATATCATACACACACACAGACAGACAGATGTATACTGCATTTCACCAAGACTAAAATATTGTGTTTAGAATGATAAGACGAAAAAGAGTTTAAATTTTTTATAAACTTATAGAGTATAATTCTCATATTTTATCATTCTAGCAAAAAAGTTAAATCTTCTCTTACAAATGAGAGAAAGAATAGAAAATCGTATAAAAGTTTTATATTTTTTTCCGTTATAATTATTAATGGAAATTTATTACTCTAAAAAGTTAAATAAAGATGATACTTTGGTGGTTATACGTTGTTAAGAGTACGAATCATTGAATCAAAAAAATTATTATTCAGTTTTTTTTCTTCCTTCCATTATCACTTAGGTTTAGTTTAAGTGATGATGATGATGATGATGATGATGATGATGATGAAAAAATAAATCTAAATTAATTAACTTTAAAAACAGGAAACTTGTTTATTACTTTTGACATTAAGACCAACTAGAATTAAATGAAGTAGATGTTAATAATTGCATTTAAAATTTAAAAAATATTATGTCAATAAATATGATTTGTCACTTCTAGTTATTTCTTTTGAAATATTATTAGAATATAAACATAATTTATTTTCAGTGATTATTTGTTTAGTTTATTTTTTGTTTTTCCGTTTAATATAAATCTTGTTTGTCACGCAAGTCTTGTTGTGTTTGATAGTGTATATAACCCAAAATTTTTTTTGTCATTTCCTTTATCACGATAAGAAAAACAAGTAATAATATGAAAGATTTTTTTGTTTTTTTTCTTTATTATATGCGCCATAGTTCTTATCAGTTCATGATTTTGACTGAAGCACTTATTATTTTAGGGATAAAAACAATAATTAAAATAAGATACAAAACAACAATAACAATCGATTGTCTTTGTCTCTCTTGTTTGTCTACAGATTTTCTATTAACGACATTATATATCAAAAAAACTTTTCAATAGTCCTGTTGATTATATCGTTTAAAAAATAGAAGAGAAAAGAAAAAGGATTAACTAACATAAAGTACTCTTTAGATGTAATTGTTTGATGTTACTACTTTTTAAAAAACTTGTCATGTAGTTCCTCTTGGCTATTATACCTTGAAGTTAAATAATTTTATATATTCAATTGATATAACATAAATTCAATATGACTAAAACAGTGTTTTTTGTTGAAAATATAAATAAGACCATAGAAATGTAGAAATTACTATAAAAAAAGATTTTTCTCTCACAGAATGATTCAATATTTTTAGAAAATTTCTTGAAATTTTATCCATGTATCATATTTCCTCGAAACATTCAACTATTGTTATCGTCTATGTTCTATTATACAATCATACATCGTTTCTTTTTCCTATTTTGTTTTTACCAGTGTGTGAAATTTGTTTGCCTTCCCCCTCCCCCTTCTTTTCTCATCCGTTAAAGAAGAATTTTTTCTTCTTCTTCTTCTCTTCTTTCATATAATGAAAACAATCAAACATGGTTTTTTTCTTCGATGTTCAATCTACTACCAGCATTACTACTCATACTTGTATTGACAAATGAGGCGTCAACTGTGCACATTTGTTGCTGTTTTTCTATGTTAAAAAACCATCACCGTTTATTATTATAAATGTACCGTGCGCTGCAAACAAACGAAGAAATGGATAATAAAAAAACATAAAAAAATAAAAGAAAAATATCTCTAAATATCAAGTCTATTAAACGAGAAATATATGTATGAAAACAAAAAATAATTTTTCTTTGTTAAGAGAGAAAGAGAGAGAAAATAAGAGAAAAAAAAAATACAAAAAAAAAACATCATTTACACCCAATACACGCATTTTATCTAGTGAACTAATTATCGATACTCGCTATAAAATTATTAATTTTGAACAATAAGAAAAAATGAGTTTGAATGTATCATTACCACAACTGTATATTAAAAGAATCAAAATGATCTCCATCTTACTAGAGTGTATTGTTTCTAAGGCTGCTCTTTCCCATTCTTGTCTTAGATTATTGTGCTTATCTTCTTCTTTTTTTCCCTTTTTCTTTATATTGTTGTTTTTCAATGAAAATAACTCTATATATTGGTTTTATTACTCCATCCAACCATATTTTTCAACAATAATTTCATTATTATGTTGTAGTAACAACAATAAGGGGAAGAAAAAAAAAACTA